CCCAATCTGGGACACTTGAGCTACAATGTCCTTGCGAGCAGCTGAATGCTGAATCATAAAACATGTTCCATGATATTCGAACTCTTCGAGAGCAATGTGACACCTGATCGTCGTTTGAATTTGATCCTCGCTTGTCAAGCTTCACTTCTTGATATTATGCAACCCTATCCATGGGAGGCAATGAACCATAGGAGGCAACAGTCGGCCTTGGCGAAATCGTTTCCTACATACCATTCACGATCCTCGAGAATTTTACCTCGAACCACGAGCTTGACCTGACATCTGAGCTTTCGCTGTTTGATGCAAGGACATTGTTCATGTAGCTTAGGCGTCAGCGTGGGTCAAGGGAACATTATCGAGGATTTAAAGTTTGTTCGTTCACTGCAACCAGGTATATATCAATCATGTTTCGCTCGCTACTCTGGTTTAAATAAATGATTACAAAGCCCAGTCGAATTGTAATCAAGACCCAACGTTTCGACACTCCAGTCTAGTGTCTTCATGAGGGGTGATCTAAAGATTATCGTGGATTACCATTACTAAAAGCAAAAGAGAAATCAAAAGTCCGACAATCCGTCCACGACACACGAGAATCTTCTCGAGGCTGACACCTGAGCTTCCGCTGTTTGACAATATCCATAGACAAAAGCAAAACGCCTACAGCGAGTTTACGAGCCAATGATTGCGGTCATTAATCCGCGTTAGCTCATTAAGAATAATTAACATACACGCCTTTCGTATTCATTGAAGTATTATTAAATGTCGTCGAGCTGTCTAACTGCTATTAATAAGACCTTGTAACGAGCCCGTAATTATTTTGTCATATACAAATTATCCTCCCAGCGTAGATCACCTAGCACAGGTTTCCGTATCGAAAATTGCCCGTCGAAACAGAGCCGTCGAAACACCTGACGTGAATTTGGAATAACATATTTAATCTGCCATAGCTTGTTTGTCGCCGGATTAGAAGTTGAACTACGAGCTTACATCCTGGTTTTGTATAAGAGAAGCTGGCTGCTTGCAATATGGCGAACATGAGTCACAGTCCGCTCACACGTGCTGCCAGTTCTTTTCAGGTTTCACCCATCGCTATGCCTTCTCATGGCAGCTATATTTTCAGAGATATCTCAGGTAAGGTTTTTATAGTAAGAGTTTTATTTAACACTCTGTCCCATCGCGATCACATGTGTTGCCAAATTTTAAATGTTACACTTAATTTATCACCTAAACGATAAATTTATCTAAGTAAATATATGCTATCAAAGTGTGTGATTATTTATCGTTTTAACAGTTCTCGCGATATTGTATTTATTCACAGCTAAATTTTCTCAGATGCTTTACAGGATCAGGGAAATGACTTCAATATTCTCATCTACTTTATCCAAATAGATATTTTAATAACATTATGCAAGGCAAGGTTGAAGATTAGGAATTAAATTGGTTTTCCTGTAATGGTCGGTAATCATAGCTATTTTGGTTTTTGAGAAGATCGCATATATAATTAAATATACGGTTACATAAGTTAGAAATGATTCGGCTCTCACGATTGCCGCCAATCTGGTTAGAAACAGTTTGGAAAACTGCTCTTCTTCGAGAGCGTTACATATATAATCCATGGATTCAAAAATCTATCCTTTTATTTCTCCAGTCCTGTGTCTTCAACGAAGGTAATGTACGACTGCTGAATCAAATGAAACTCTATATTCCAAGTAGTCGTAGGTTTTTTTTTACACGGGAATGACGTACTTTTCCCAACAGGACAACTTTTGCCAAGCCGTTTTTACTAATACAACGCGTTTAGCCTTTTACAGCCGCTAATATTTTGTTCAAATTTTGCTCTTTTTACCCACGTGGGATTTGTGCTGGAATCAGACGGAATATGTGTGCATTTGAAAATCGTTTGCTGGAGGTAACTCATGTTGGAAGGTGTTTTAATCGGTGAACCTTTCAAGCCTTTGTTTTTACAGTCTATATAGAAGTTCATGACCACAGAATTTTCATTTGTTTAAAATATATATGCACATATGGTCCGGTCGGACAGACCAAACAAAGGTTGATGTTTCAGTTTCACTACGTGCATGTATATAGAAAGCTTATTTGAAAAGCAACAAATAAGCAATATATGTCCACAGGTTCCACCGTATCTAATGCTGCGTCAATGTGTGGACATTCGCGTTTTGCTCATTTTGTCTTGTGTATTAATTGGCCTGGGTAAATATATGAGCAACAATGTACATTCAATCAATAGACACATGTGAACTTAAATGTCTTAGAAGGAGGCTGCATTCGATTTTCGATTCAATTCCTCTGAATGTTTATCCTATAGAGAAGAAGAGTCTTGATCGAGTTTATCTCTCTCGGTTTGTTTGAGAGCAGAACAACCTTATATAGACAAGATCTTGGGCCAAGTTATTATTAAATGGAAAGTATCCGACAATTAATGTCAAGTTTTAGAGGAATAATGTTTCTGTTGTAACCAGAAACTGTTGGAGCTTTTGCTCGAGACTGCAAAGGCTTTGTTCAGTAAAATTTACTTTTTCTACACAAATTCAGTGACGTTCCGGAGATTGAAATAGATGAAGATTGAAAATATATTTAACAATGTTAAATCAAGATCAAAAATCTCAGTGGGGATTTATTTTAAAAACAACAATATATACATTCAAGGATGATGTTTAAATTTTCCCTCTTACCTTAGATCAAATATCAAGGAAGAATAGTTATTGAATATATTTGAAACAAAAATTTTAATTGATATATTAGGTTGGACAATTCACAACGCACTGGAGCAACGCAAGAACCTCGCTCCTCAGACATTTCCTCATTACACATGTCTTGGCTTTGGCTAGCGAAAAGTGTAAAGATCTATACTTCCACTCTGTGAGGCAATAGCTTAAAAATTTCTCTCTAAATCCATTTTACAGACTAGTGAACTTTTACGTTATAAAATATATTGATTTAAGAATGTTGACTTTAGTATTACTATTATTAGATGTACACAATATATAGATCTATTAGTATTACACTACTGAACTGCTGAAAATTATAAGTAGAATCTTATGCAGTTAGGATCAGATATCATCTTTAAGGGATAAACTCTGAAGAAAGTTTGTATTAGTTTCATTGAAAAAGGTGTTGTTAGCTGAATCGCAATGTTCAGGACGAAACTGCCGAGCTTTTAAGAAATGCCTTACCTTCAGAACTGTTTAAAAATGTCCTTACCAAATGATTGTTGATTCACTGGAAATTTAGTGCGTTTTCAAACGTATAGATTTCCTTTCTTGATCAATTCTTTAAATAAGAGCCTTTGGTACACATTTCTGATCGCTTGTCTAACGCAACGTGTCTCTTCTGTGTGTACTCGTAGGCTAGTGTGAATCTTCTACAAAGAATCTTTATTTTATGCTGAGAATATGCATAAAACATCAGGAAACAGAGGCAAAAACGACATCGCATTTTATGTGCAAAACCTAATATACTGTATTAAGTGACCTAAATTTATTTTTCAGCGCATTTGCATTAGTTCGGCACGTGAAAAGTTCTGCGTTTGAACTAAATCATATTGCCCTAGTATAGATGTAACTAATGGCGCGCAGACAGGATTCAATGATAAAAATGTGTACAAGCTTCGCGCATTTTCATCACACGGTGTCGCTTTACTGTATTCGAAAAAGTTCCAGCTAAATTTGGAGTTACATAGAAGATGGCATTTCCAAAAGAAACGGTAATCTAATCAGTTTCGTAGTGGAAACAGACAATTCTGTCAAATGAATATTTTTAGTATATTCATGAGAATTTATGAGTTATGGGCGGTTAAGCCGTTTGCGTGCACTTGAGTTTTTGACTGTATTGTCATTTTATCATCGAATGTACATGAAGCATCGCTTTAGAATACAAGGATAAGTAATAAACTACAAAAGAGTCCTCGGTTTGCATGCAAACAGCTGATTTATTGAATAGAAAATGCGAGTTGAACAGAAGATGTTTCAACAGGAAAGAAATTTCATTGTGTTTCATATGGGTATTATCACACTCACTCACCATTCTATATAGTTCCTGTATTTTTCAAGTCGACAGGTGTTCTTTTCTGTCATGTATACAAAATTCAAAAGCGCACTTTATTCTTTACATATCAGCATTTGAGCGTTCTTTGAGCGTTCTCTGAAAACTAACTGACAATGTATAGATGCTTGGAGGGGAAAGGCTCACTGAATATATTCCGCGTCGCTAAGTTTTTGCGGGATCGCAACATTGTATATTCAAAGAACAGAGCTGACGTTTTGCATATTTAGTCATATTATCTGTGACAATGAGGTTTCTCTGATTATACACACGTGTGTGTACATAGAATATACATAGAAAATGAGTAGTATAGTTTTGCTGAGCTCGAAGACACTATAGCTGAGGGTTCTTTTACTGGATGAAAAACTATATACTATACCTGCTCTATCTTTAATATGATATCGAGGATTCTCTATATTCGCATTTCGTGAACCAAAACACCCTTGGCATACCGACATGTGTATGTAAATAGTGTTTGACATTCGCAATATAGCTTACATGGAGAGGCAATTATTGAGGCCTAAACTATAGACCCGTTTACACTTGCGATTTTAGGTGCGATCATCTTCTGATGGATGTGAACGGATGGATGTTAGTTATGGATGTTCAGATGACATACTCGGAACATTCATGATTCATCTAGTCGTTCACATGCGTCAGAGGAAGAAAATCGCAGCAAGAATTACAAGTGTAAACGGTCCTTTACAAGACCATCAGACTGAGCACGATGCACTGTAGAATCAAACTGGAAATTTATGCCATAGAGTCAAACTCCGTACTTCAACATTCAAACCTTACAGAGATGAATATACTAACCACCGTAGCACTAAAGCCCCGATCAAATGGGCATGAGAGTTGGCAATCACACGATCTTGACTGTTCTTAATGCTTTCCCAACACTATCATGTATTCTATTGAAGTTAAACCATAGTTGGAACATTCATCACGCCTTTATTTTGTTAATCTAGAGCTTGAAATGTCCTCTGTAACAATGTGTGATTACCAACTCTTATCAACTCTCAGCCTCGTTTCACAGGCTTAACACTCAATGATTTCTCTTGACAACAAACTATGTTTTCTTTTCATAGACTACCACAGGAATACGGGTGGGCTTCACTCGCCCTATGCCAGGCCGCCAAACTACTGCGATGACTACCCGTACGGTGCGGCCGCTTCAAACCATCAAGGGAACCCGCTTACCGCGTTATTCTCCAACTCTCCAGCCTCGTTGCTTGGCAGTTCAAGTTTTCTCGATATGCAAGACATGAAGAGAAAGCCAAATGGAAATATTCGAGCGGACTTGGACAACAGAACATTGTGGAAAGGTTTTAATGAATATGGAACAGAGATGATTATTACTAAAGCGGGAAGGTAGGAATGAGTTAAGATTTCCTTGTTATATGTAGCTCTGTCAGTTCTTAACTATCCTCCCTGGAGGTCCAGTAAGAGTCATCATTTACTGGAGGAAATTTAAACTAAACTGATAGTTCAGTTATATACTGTATGGGTAGCTGTATCAGTTCCAAACTGTTCCCCCTGAAGATCCAGTTAGAGTCATCCTTTATTGATCTAATGTTACTACAGGAGGAAACCTAAACTAAACTAATTTTATACTGGACAGCTCTATCAGTTCTAAACTACAGTTCTCCCTAACATGTCCAGTAAGGGTCATTCCTGTAGGGTGTATATATAGTCAAACTGAAAGTTCTATATTCGGGAATCTCGACTGCAGAAACTGCATGCGCTATAACTACTGTTTCTCTAACACCTCTAAAACACAAGCGATCTAGTTATTGCCAATGGTACTGTTCCAATCCAAAGTTTGAAACTCGGTGAAAGGCTAGATAATTCTTTACTGACGTTGTTTTCATTCAGACCTGCATGTCATCCTGCAAATATTTGTTTTATCAATTACGTTATCATGTTTCCTTTTACGTTGTTTCCTTATTGGCGAAATTAAGTTCCTCCTAAAATTAGTCATCAGGATTTTAATACAAATTGCCTCCACATGTAGGACGCCTTCGTGAATCTGTTTGCTTACGCCTCTGCTGCACTACAAACCGTCAAAAAATTGACTGACTTGCTTGTTGCTGTCACATGAAAAATGTATATTTTACATGAAAAGTGGAAAGCCGTAGGATTCAGTTCAGAAGTTTGTTTATCATGACGTGAACTGCGCGCGCAAAATGCGGTTGACGCAAAGTTGCTGCAAAGAGCACATGGCCACACAAGTTCATATCTTCTATTTCATTGCACTCTACACATTGAGTGATTGTGGTGCGTTAATTTGTGAATTGTGTCTTCTGGCAATTTTAGCAGTTCACCCGGTTTCAATTAGCTGTTTCTGGCGTAGTTCAGTTCCTGGGCGAAAACTCTGAGCAAACATTCATATCGCCTTTTTCCTGGGCGAGTATTGCAAATATTGACGCCGATTATAAAATGACTAAAATTTGTATATTTGGAATCGTGTTAAATACCGGATGAATGCGATATTATATAGACTTGGTGTTTTGTTTGATTACTTGGCACAATTTTATCTCTTCGACGCAGAATTGAAAATGCTATGTTGGGAGGTTATTTAAACTAAGCTAACTTTATTTATACTAGCCTGCGTCACAGACTTCAAAACACATGTTTATCATGATAAAACATGTGTTTTGAAGTCTGTGACGCAGGCTAATTTATACTGGATAACTCGATCAGTTCTAAACTGTTCTCTATATGAGATCCAGTAAGGATCATCTCTTATTGATCCAGTGTTACTACAGGAGGAAACTTAAACTAAACTTACTTTATTTATACTGGATAGCTCTATCAGTTCTAAACTGTTTTCCCTAGAGGTCCAGTAAGGATCATCTCTTATTGATCCAGTGTTACTACAGGAGGAAATCTTATCAGTTCTAAACTGTTCTCTATATATGAGGTCCAGTAAGGATCACCTCTTATTGATCCAGTGTCACTGCATTCTTAGAGTACGCGAAAAACCTATGATGTTTGAGTCAGACCGAAAGCACTCTTCTTCCATGACCGTGGAATCGGAAAACCTGATTTTTTCACACGCATTCCAAGGTCACTACACAAATATTACCGTTGGACAGTATATACAAATGCGCTGAACACGTAATCTTCCACGAACTTCCTGGTCGTGTACTGCGCTTTCAAATCCCTGACAGCGGGTGCCATTAGCTAGGATGTTTTAACAACTTTGTTAGCGCTAAAGACGTGATGGCGTTACACAATTTCTGAAGTGCGAATCACGCGCCCCAGTCAGTAAACGTGTGAAATATACACAGACATAAAACCTTCGGAGGAAACGGGCGCGAGTATTGGAATATTCACGTGGTAAATATTGCAGTTTAAAAATAGAAGCGTGCCTGCATGTAGACTCGCTGCAAGTTCGCGGGTCTGCGTCTCCAAAGAGTTTTTAAATTTCTCCTCGCATTTTCGCGCGCCCTTCTATAAACTGCCAAAAAAAAATTCCAAGCTTGCCTGCTTCTTTAAAATTAAACCGCAGAGTTTTGACATATAGGACTATGCATGACGCCACATATGACGCAGAATATTCTAATCCATGCCCAAAGTCACAAACTTTGTTGTGAATACATGCACGTCTTGTATACGTGAATGCACCAGACTAATTGTATTCATACTGGATAGTTCTATCAGTTTGAAACTGTTTTGCCTAGAGATATTGTAAAAGTCATCTTGTTATCGGTCGAGTCTTGCTACAGGGGGAAACGTATAACTAAATCAACTTTCGTTATATTGGATAATTCTATCAGTTCTAAGAGGATCGGGTCAAGTAAGACTCATCTCTGATTTCTCCGGTGTTTATACTAGAGAAGGAAACCTAAATGAATTTTGCTCAGACATGCAAGGTGTTTCCGCGCCGGGAGATTTTGTATGATTTATACTTCAATTTTAATTGCGTCCACAAATCAACTGCAATAAAACTGTGAAAAATCATGTTTGCTAAACTTGGCACCTTCTTTACGCAAACCGTGAAAATTTTCAAACATTTAGTTCATTTGCTAAGCGCTTCCTGTGTCATTCCACAGCAGATTTGTGTTTCACAGCTTTCCAAAGACAACATAAGACTCAAAAGGCGCCAGCATCAACATCGCATTAACGCTTGCTACAAGAGCCGAACTATTCCGGATTTAGCTTAACTTTGTTCCGCAGTCAGGTCTTTGCGACACGCTATAGTTTTTTATTGTATTTTTAATAATGAAGTCAAGAAATTCCTAATTTTGATTGGCGAACAGCGTGTTTTATTGAAACTGTAAAAAAAATGACTCTATTAGGGGCCGATCACATAGAGAACTTTCAACCCCGGGGTTGAACTCAGCCCTGTTAACCGGGTTGAAATTTTTTGCGATTACATGAACGATTTCAACCCCGGGGTTGAAACGCTATACTATACGTTCTCGGCATCGATTCCCAGAAGTAAAAAAAGCCTTTATTTTGTTTTCCTGAAATAAATAGTCACTACCATGCACGTATGCTCGAATAAGTCATGATAATTTCAGCCCTGGGTTGAACGATTACATGACAAAATTTTCAACCCAGGGCTGAGTTCAACTCAGGGGTTGACATTTCAACCCTGCTAGCTGAAGCAGGGTTGAAATTTCAACCCCGGGTTGAACTCAGCCCTGGGTTGAAAATTTTGTCATGTAATCGCGCGTTTGATTTTGATAGAGTTTTGTATTACAGACAGGGCTGAAATTTCAACCCGGTAAACAGGGCTGAGTTCAACCCCGGGGTTGAAAATGCTCCATGTAATCGGCCCCTTAGTGGCACAGTCTTAATGCGCCTTTCGTCTTTGCGTTTACGATTCGAGATTTCTACAATAAACAATGATGTGACAAGAGTGCTTCTAGTATGACTCTATCAAACACCACAGGTTCTCTCCAAGTATTCCGATTTCCTTCTGTAGTAACACTGAAGCAGTTAGAGATTATCTACCTGGATCTCCTTACCAGATACCATAGAGGACACGCTACAATCGAGGTGAAATTTCGGCAAACTTGAAACATTGAGACAACTATTAATACGATGAGATTTCTGTGAATAAGGTGTGAAAAACCCCCGCGTTTTCATTCGACTGGAATGATTGCGATTCAAATTGTTAGTAATCGTACGAATTAATCTCGCAGCTTAGTATTTTATAATAGCAAGGCGGCAATCTCTGTTGCAAGCCAAGCCAAGGCATAAACTACATGCAGCGTTGGGAAGACTGTGTTTACACAAACATCCCTCATAACCTCCGATTATAGTTTTCTGTATGCGCCTTTTTTTCTTTGAGGAACTACCTTATGTAAATACCTGCGAAATATGTACATGGTGTAAAGCTTCTTATCTCAAAAGATTGACTTAAAATAAACAATGCCACCTCGTATTTCTTGTAACTATCTATTAAAACAACAGGCCAGGTGCGAGAATTAATTTTTTGAACATGAAGACAGTGCATGCTTCCAGGCTGGCCCTACATGACCAAACGCATCAGGTTTTCTGTAGTAACACTAGAGCAATAAGGAAAAATGCTAATTGGACTTCTATAGGGAAAACAGTTTCAAAACTGATAAGGCCTATCCAGTGTAAATAAAGTTAGTTTAGTATTGGTTTCTGCCTGTAGTAACACTGAACCAATAAGAAATGACCCTTATTGGACCTATAGGGAGAACAGTTTAGAACTGATAGAGCTATCCAGTATAGATAAAGTTGGTTTAGTTTAGGTTTCCTCCTGTAGTAACACTGGATCAATAAGAGATGACCCTTACTGGACCTCTAGGGAGAACAGTTTAGAACTGAAAGAACTATCCAGTATAAATAAAGTTAGTTTAGTTTAGGTTTCCTCCTGTAGTAACACTGGATCAACAAGAGATGACTCTTACTGGACCTCTAGAAAGAACAGTTCAGAACTGATAGAGCTATCCAGTACAAATAAAGTTAGTTTAGTTTAGGTTTCCCCCTGTAGTAACACTGGTTCAATTAGAGATGACCCTTACTGGACCTCTAGGGAGAACAGTTTAGAACTGATAGAGCTATCCAGTATAAATAAAGTTGGTTTAGATTTCCTCCTGTACCAATGACAAATGGCTTTTACTGGATCTCTGGGGAAAACAATTTAGAACTGATAGAGCTATCTGAAGTTTGTTTTGTCATTGTGCATTAACTTGTCTCAAGGGTTATGTCCAATGTTGTAGTTTTGTTCAGTATAACAATCTCGGGGAGCAGAATCCCACAACATTTTCTATTTATTTTTTCCAGGAGAATGTTTCCAACCATCAGAGTGAAACTCGAAGGTTTGGACCCCAAAACAAAATACTTTCTTGTGATGGACATCGTGCCTGTCGACGATAACCGTTTTAAATATCACAATGGTGAATGGATCGTCTCTGGCAAAGCAGAGCCACCACATCCATCCAGGTTGTACATACACACTGATTCACCTGCTACTGGAGCGCAATGGATGCGACAGATTGTATCATTTCAGAAACTCAAATTGACCAACAGTCAAGTGGACCAACAAGGACATGTGAGTTTATCATTTTCTTCTTTTTGTTTTTGCTACATTTGATGGCCAAGTTACTAGATGGTGAAGCCGCCATGTTGGTGGCATATGGGTCAGTACATGACTACTACATCTGTCTTTCGTCTCTGTAATTGAGGTTCCATTCTTGCAAAATGCAGATGTCTGATTATAATTTCACCTCAGTCTCATGTGAGAAGAGTGCTTCCAGTTTGACTCCGCCAAACACCTCAGGGTTTTTTCAAGTTCTCCGCTTTCCTCCTGTTTGTAGCAACACTGGGTCAGTTATAGGGATGACTCTTACTGGACCTCTAGGAAAAGTGGAAGGCCAGTTTAGAACTGACAGAACTAACTGACATGCAGAACTATCCAGTATAAATATAGTCAGTGTATACCAGTCTCTTACAGCTAAGATGTAAGAGAGTGTATATTTACAAGAAGGGAATAACAGTTTTCTTACAAACTTTTTCCAAAAATGATGGTGTTGGGGTAGTAGCTATAGAATATATAATCAAGCGATCCTTAAGCCTGTATTAACACTTACAGTATGTCCTCACAAAATGCAATTACAAAACAGCACTAACTTTTAAATAGAACCTATATATTCTAATAATAATATTCCCATAAAGTATATGTCTCGCTGAATGGCTAAAGGAAGTCATTAAGAGATAGCTATGCTTAATTATGTTTCATGTTTAAGCACAACTCAGTATATATTGGTGCAGTTTTGTTGTATAGCGTTTTTTGTCTTACATATTCTGCTCTTCCATGAAGCATGTATCTCAAAACATAGAAGTCCAGTGGCAGTGTATATAGGTATAATAATTCTACAATAAACTGTCGTGGTTTGTGCCGGAACTACCTGAAAAAGATATCTTTAACGTGGTGATCCAGTGTAGGTAGTATTCTACAGTATAACTATAAGTTTGTGTCTGAACTACTTGAAAAAGAATATACTCATAAAGACCAATATTTCTATTACAAACATAAGAGGCTCTTACATATTGTACATTGTCTAATAAATTAAATGTATTAATTATAGACCCGACTTTTCACGATCTTAGCATGACAAAGTAATATACAGTTAGTGCCTTTAAAACTTGCTGAACAATTAAAGTTTGTTTATTTCTAACGACTTCCCGTCCCATAGATACATTTCAGTATTTATATTGAAAACTCCTCAAAGAGGTTTTTGAAATGGGATCTTTTTTGTAATTAATTACATGTGTAATATATGAATACAATATATTGCTTTTTTTTAAACCGTTTAATATAACCGGCTATATCTTGACAATGGCGCGTTGGCGTTATTTCACAAAAAATTACATACTCTAAGTGGTATTGAAGAGGTAATATGCCCTTTCTCTAATAATTTTACAATGTTCATATTATTATTCAATACCAGAAACATCTTTCATCCGCTAGATGAGGCTATTAAACGTTATTATAGTCGTTTGAAAATGGGTATTCGACTTGTTTATTGTTTAGAAGCTGCCCCTCCCATCAATTAGGCGGAACGTTTAGATGTAAAAACTATCATTAATATTGTTATGTTTCCTCTCAAACAATCATGTCTCTAAAATTAAAATAACTTAATAAAAAAAATAGCTGTATCCGTTCTAAAGTATTCTCTCTTGAGCTCGTCCAGTAAGGGTCATCCATGAATGCATCATTGGCCCAGTATTACTCGAAGAAAACCTGTGGGTATTGGGTAGAGGAAGCATTCGTCCCACTGGTGACTGAGGAGATTTTTATAATCAGACGGCTTCGCATCTTTCTCTAATCAAATCGTAGTCCTCGAGGTGAAATGGCCAGGCTCTGTAGCCATTGTAGAGAATCTCACGGTGTCTTACTCAGTCATAAGTTGACAATTAGTAAAACGGAATAGTGTATTGGCCTGGGACTTTCATCACTTTATAGATTTCATTTAAGTGCTTGCTTCACATCAAACATCTGTTGTTTATATATATTGACACTTTCCAACAGTTGCTGAGAAAATTTTATCATATCATGTCAATATAATAGATGTATATGTAATATTAAATAGAGTAATACCTTTAGCCATCACTTCGCTAAATAACAGTATATGCAGCTTAATACATAGGCATAACTAACCAATATACATAAGAATTGATGCGAACAATCATTTATATTTTGTCAAGGGCAGTTCTCTATAGCGTTTGAATGTCAGAGCAGCTACAGTGAGCATGCATGTACATTTGCCTTCTTCGACCAGGCTTTCATTCCCGCAATATACAGAGTGATACAGTTGTCTGATTATAATTTCAGCTCAGTTGCACGATGGAGAGAGAAGAGTGCTTCCAGTTTGACTCTTCCAAACACCTCAACTAGAAAAAGTGGGATAAAAAAGTCACATAAATACAGTACTTTGTTGTTGCATACATAATACGCATGGTCAAATTTTCCATTTTTTGCACGCACTTTTGAGGACATTTCGAAGGAAAACAGTTTGGAACTGATAGAGCTATCCAGTATAAATAAAGTTAGTTTATTTAGTTTAGGTTTCCTCCTGTAATAACACCGGAATGACCGGATCAATAAGAGATGCATGACCCTTACTGTACCTCTATAGGGAGAACAGTTTGGAAATGATAGAGCTATCGAGTATAAATAAAGTTAGTTTAGTTTAGGTTTCCTCCTCTAGTAACACTGGATCAATAAGAGATGATCCTTACTGGACCTCTAGGAAGAACAGTTTTAGATCTATCCAGTATAAATAAAGTTAATTTAGTTTAGGTTTCCTCCTCTAGTGACACTGGATCAATAAGAGATAATCCTTACTGGACCTCTAGGGAGAAATAAAGTTAGTTTAGTTTAGGTTTCCTCCTGTAGTAACACTGGATCAATAAGACATGGTTCTTACTGGACCTCTAAGAAGAACAGTTTAGAACTGTAGAGCTATCCAGTGTAAATGAAAGTTTTCTATAAATAGCTCTTCATATCCTGCAGGAAATCTCCATGGGCAGTTCCTTCCGATTGTTCTCATGCGTACAGTATTTACAGACAATCTATTTACCTATAGATAACTGTCTGCAGTCCAGTCGGACATTTTGTCGCTTGTATAATTGTATTTGCTCAACTTTGCTCGCCTCTGAGGTGCTAAACTTGTCTCTGAAAGCGTGAAATCTTGTTAGCTTCATAACACCTTGCCGTGAAACACATCTCGGTTCCAATTTTTCCATGTAAGATAACAGCATGATGCGTAAACATTTTTAAATTTTGGACCTGTTCCACGCGCGCGTCACATGACCAACCAAAGCGCCTGGGTACGAGGCCGATCTTGGTGGCAGAACAATCTCGTAGCCCGAGCCCCATTGTGGGCAGACAGAGGGGTGCTAAGGTAGAGGTCCGAGGTACCTACGATTTTAACGTCCTTAACCGAGAAGACGCGAAAGTCTAACCATTTACTGAAGTCAATGTAAAGGTCGCTCTTTCTCCTCAATGGACCATTTGCATTATAGACTAAATTTTGATCTAGACAAAAATTTCATCACAGCTTGAAAGAGCATCACAAAATTAGTAATATTCCAAAGTGAAATGTTGTAAAATGTGGATAATATAGCCTTGCGAAGTTTGCCGTTTTTCAGTCATTTTGTATTGCGCACGGGAAATTGACAGCCCAATCGGGTGTTGGGGCATCAATTTCACGTTTGTAATACAAAACGACTGAAAATTAGAAATTTCGCAAGGCTATATTATCCGCATTTTACAACATTTCGTAACGAAACTTTGGAATATTACTAATTTTGTGATGCTCTTTCAAGCTGTGATGAAATTTTTGTCTAGACTTGTTTAGATCAAAATTTGGTCTATAATGCAAATGGTCCATTATTTTAAGACCTTGAGTAGAGGTGCGAGCAAGGATTGAACCCAGCTCTCCCAGATTGAATGGTGTAAAATGGATATAGTTCTAAAACTGGTGTTTTGAGGCTTTTAGGGAAAATTGAACATGTTCCTCATTTCCTTTACGAAGCTTTAAAATATATTCCTACTTTATTTTAACCCTTGAACAAATACGGTGAACAAATAGCATTAGTTATTTTACCGCTTCCTGGTTGTTTTATGTGTGGATTCGTCTGAACGAATATTAACTCGATTCAGGTAGAAAAAACAAGACTGTTTTAAGCCTCACACTCTCTGGTTTTTGTTTATCTTGCAAAGTGTGTAAATATACCTATTGACTGTATTTGTCCTAGATCTGCTTAGGCTGAAATACTTGCAATTGTTATCATTGTCTTGAGGATGTGAGCCTCGGGAAGTTTCATTTGCTGAAATATGCTCTGAGTTGAACCGATCTTACTACCTTTATTTATACTATCTTTATCAGTTCTAGGCCAGTAAGCGTCACACCTTTTTCATCCAGTGTTAATTATCACTGCAGGAGGAAAACTAAACTAACTTTATTTATAATGAATAGCTCTATCAGTTCTAAACTGTTCTTCCTAGAGGTCCAGTAAGGATCATCTCTTATTGATCCAGTGTTACTACAGAAGGAAACGTATAAACTGAACTAACTTTATTTATACTGAATAGTTCTATCAGTTCTATAAACTGTTCTTCCTAGAGGTTCAGTAAAGATCATCTCTTATTGATGAAGTGTTACCACAGGAGGAAACCTAAACTAAATTTTAATAGCTCTATTATTTCAAAGCTGTTCTCCCAGAGGTCTAGTAAGGACCAGACCTTTTTTATTCACTTTTGCTATTGGCGGAAACCTGTGCTATTTGATATAAAGTCAAACTGATACATCCGTTTATACTGTTGGCTCTATGTTAATGCATGTCTATGATGTATAAATAACATGATAGTATATATACAGTAAAATGAATCAGTTAAACTGTAAGAAACTAAACACCAAAGATTTTCTCCAAGTACTCTGGTTTCCCCCCTAGTAACAATGGATGACCTTTACTCGACCTCTGGGAAGAACAGTTTGGACTTGAAAGGATTATCCAGTATAAATAAAGTTTGTTCAGTTTAGGTTTCCTCCTGCAGTAACACTGGATCAATAAAGGATTGCCCTCACTGGAGAGCTATCCATTATAAAAAAAGTTAGTTTAGTTTAGTTTCCCCTCCATACAGCAACGCTTATCATTAAGAGATGACCCTTACTGGACCTCCAGGAAGAACAGTTTAAAACTGATAGAGCTATCCAGTATAAGTAAAATTAGTGTAGGTTTCTTCCTGTAGTAACACTGGATCAATAAGAGATGACCCTTACTGGACCTCCAGGAAGAACAGTTTGAAACTGATAAAGCTATCCAGTATAAATAAAGTTAGTTTAGTTTAGGTTTCCTCCTCTAGTAACACTGGATCAATAAGAGATGACCCATACAGGACATCTAGGGAAAATAGTTTAGAACTGATCGAGCTATCCAGTATAAAATTATTACATTATGTGCCAAGTATTTCTTCTCAATAGGAACAGATTATAGCTTGTTTATCCGAATTTAGTAAAATTTGGACAATTTTGGCGCCGTTCTGAAGAGGATTTAGCCAATATAAGATGGCTTAAAAACATTTATCCAGCTTAGAAGCTCTAATATTAGAATTCTTTACATATAATTCGCGATTTTGTTTTGAGCTAATTTTCCGCATTAGGCATCTGAGATTTGACAGTAAGAAGTGTCTTTTTTGAGTGGCTTAAGGTCTGTGGTGGGAGGAAATATGCACGCTACACATGCACGGTGGAGATTTCCAGAACTCACATGTGATGGTCTGCACGATCAAATAGCACGGGGCGGGTCCAAGCAAGGCGTTCTGGGTCAAAATTGCTGCATCTTGCAACAAAATATGATTTCAACGCATATTAATTGAAATTGTTTACACATAAGTTACAAATCACGAGGCAACATGTGTCGACATTTCTGCTTAACATGCGTTGAAATCAGATTTTGTTGCAAGTTGCAGCAATTTTGTTGCTCGTGTATAAACTCCAGCTTTAGATAACTGATTTTATATGACCTTTATGTAAACGCTGCTTCACACTATTAAAATTTCTGTGATCACACTAGGAATTTTGCATAGGTAGATTTGAAGGATTTGCACTGACGAAATGTTACGAGGGAACTGGCTCAGTGTCTAGGGACCGTTCATTATTTATACCCGGGTTGGTACCGAAGAGATATGGGTTGGGTAATCAAGTTTTTGACTAGCTCGTAGGTTGGGTAAAAAAAAATTATGGCTAGCAGTCTGTTAGCTATAAAATGAAATAAAATAAAACCGAAATTACCATGCATTGGAAAATATGAATAAACATGTGTACAATGCATTCTGTACCAAAATAGACCATCAGTGATTGAGGAAGGATTGTATCATTGATCAGCAGGAACGTGATTGCTTTGGCACACTCAGTGAGAATGAGCTTTTAGAATTTAGGCAACTTGATTCTGTCACCATAATCTTGTGTGTTTAATTATTATGAAGTACAGTAACACATGGGTTGGGTAAACATTATTTTGACCAATGTTTGACCAATGAAAAATTTACAGTGTTTTCGCTTCTCTTCGGTGCCAACCCCGGGTATAAATAATGAACGGTCCCTTAATACTCAGTGCTTAATACTCGGTGAAACCAATGGGCCTTTTTGGTGCTATATACAATAATGGTCGACTTTTATTGTATTGACACTTGGGTGGATGAGCATATACTTTTGTGAAATTTCTATATCATGTGTAAAAATAGAGATTCTTCTCAAACATGTCTTAGTGCTGTGCATAATGCCTTTTTCAACCTTTAAGATATTCGGACACTCATTGAGAGAATGAGAAAATATTGCCACGAAACACAACGTCAATGCATATAGTGGACAATTCAGTCTCTCTGATAACCTGCACCTTGTGCTGGTAAACCGCAAATATTCTATCACGTATGGGAATGAGAAAATAAGTATTTGCCCCCAAATACAAGGCCAATACATTCCGAATTAATATAGTAGCTTTAAGGTTACATTATATGATGAAAACACTGATCGTAGGCTATTTATGTATGTCTATGAGTGACGAATATATAACAAAATGTACAGTCAAATATGTACATAACTTAACCAAGATTTTCCCTGGTTTTACTGTGTATGTAATTAGTTTGTCAGGTGAATGATTCTGTATTAAATACCCTATGTACCAGTAACGGTGTGATGGAAATGAAATGTATCATTATCTAGTGAACAATTTCGCCTCCTCGATAACTATGTTTCACTGTTTCTTTTTTTTAATATTTCTGTTATCAAACATGTATCTAATTCTTCAGATAATCCTCAACTCAATGCACAAATACCAGCCTCGGTTACATGTTGTTCAAGCGAACGAATTCAACGCCTTAAATGGACGAAGTGCTTATCAAACATTTGTATTCCACGAAACGGAGTTCATGGCCGTCACTGCTTATCAGAATCCACAGGTTGGTGTCTTGCATACTTTATTTGCCAAATATGGCGGAGTAATCCTGTGACTAAAGTATAAAGGCCGATTTAGAACTTTTGCCTAAAACTGTCGCATGGGACCTGCTTACAACTTGAGTTGTACTGTGTAAATCAAGCACACGGACTCATCAACGACAACGTAAGCAAGCTGTATGTTGATTTACACAGTACAACTCAAGTTGTAAGCAGGTTGCATGCGACAGTTTTAGACAAAAGTTGTGTGTAGTCTAAATCGGCTTTAAGGAACTGCTTGGTTAGCTGTTTGGTTTCTATAGCGACCGCATATTGTTTTGATTTAAAAAATATCCTGTGTGATCTTGGGTGTAGCTGGCAATGATTATGGTTCGCGCTATTTTGTTGAAAGATGAAACGACAGTAGTACCTGAAAATGTAAAAAAGCTATTCCAAAGTCCTTGTGTAATGGACAAAAGACATTGTCTTCTGGATTGCCTATATGATCTGTCACTTCATATTATCATATCAATAACAATCAATCAATTCTCTATCTCAATCTACTTCATTGCTACTTGAATCTGTTTGCTACCTTGCCAAATAGAGTAATTGCAGTGTTCTCGCCAGAGGTGCAGAAAGGATCAAACTTCTTATTGATCCAGTGTTACTACAGGAGGAAACCTAAACTAAACTAACTTTATTTCTACTGGATAGCTCTATCAGTTCTAAACTGTTCTTCCTAGAGGTCCAGTAAGGATCATCTCTTATTGATCCAGTGTTACTACAGGAGGAAACCTAAACTAAACTATCTTTATTTATACTGGATAGCTCTATCAGTTCTAAACTGTTCTTCCTAGAGGTCCAGTAAGGATCATCTCTTATTGATCCAGTGTTACTACAGGAGGAAACCTAAACTAAACTAACTTTATTTATACTGGATAGCTCTATCAGTTCTAAACTGTTCTCCCTAGAGGTCCAGTAAAGGTCATTCTTATTGATCCAGTGTTACTACAGGAGGAAACCTAAACTAAACTAACTTTATTTCTACTGGATAGCTCTATCAGTTCTAAACTGTTCTTCCTAGAGGTCCAGTAAGGATCATCTCTTATTGATCCAGTGTTACTACAGGAGGAAACCTAAACTAAACTAACTTTATTTATACTTGATAGTTCTATCAGTTCTAAACTGTTCTCCCTAGAGGTCCAGTAAGGATAATCTCTTATTGATCCAGTGTTACTACAGGAGGAAACCTAAACTAAACCAACTTTATTTATACTGGATAGCTTTATCAGTTCTAAACTGTTCTCCCCAGAGGTAAAGTTAGGAACATTCCTTCTTGGTCTAGTGTTACTACAGGTAGGATCTGGAGAAAACCTGTGATGCTTGTTAGAACAGAAATTACTCTTCATGCGCAATGGACCATTTCCCAATTAACCAAAATTTTGAACTCAACAAGTCTAGATAAAAATTTCATCACAGCTTGAAAGAGCATCACAAAATTAGTAATATTCCAAAGTTTCGTTGCAAAATGTTGTAAAATGCGGATGATATAGCCTTGCGAAGTTGGCAATTTTCAGTCATTTTAGATTACAAACGGGAAATGGTGACCACTTGTGTGCGTAATACAAAATGACTGAAAATTACGAGCTTCGCAAGGCTATATTATCCGCATTTTACAACATTTTGCAATGAAACTTTGGAGTATTACTAATTTTGTGATGCTCCTTCAAGCTGTGATGAAATTTTTGTTCAGGCTAGTTAAGATCAAAATTTTGGAAAAGTGGTAACCATTTCCCGTTTGTAATCTAAAATGACTGAAAATTGCAAATTTCGCAAGGCTATATTATCCGCATTTTACAACATTTCGCAACGAAACTTTGGAATATTACTAATTTTGTGATGCTCTTTCATGCTATGATGGAATTTTGTCTAGACTTGTTGAGATCAAAATTTTGGTTAATTGGGAAATGGTCCATTGAACTGCGGTTACAGAGGTGTACGACGAATGCACTAGTCCCTATACCACCAACACTTCTTAACAAAACAACTGAGCATTAAACTTCTCATAGCTTAAACCTGTTCGGGGCAAGGACAATCACGCAAGGTCGAGTGCTAATCATTCCAATGTCATGTCGCGGATCTACGTGGGAATTTCTGGAATAGTTCTACAGATTATCTTGAATTAAACCCATTATGTTGCATACTAAACTTGATCCAGATTAGCGTTCAAAAATCTCGGAAGTTGAGAAAATGAGAACGGAACACAGCGTGTGGTTTAAAGAGGGGGTCACGATGAGACCCTCGTTACCACCTTGGGCGCTCTTGGAAGAACAGTTTAGAACTGATAGAGCTATCCAGTAGAAATAAAGTTAGTTTAGTTTAGGTTTCCTCCTGTAGTAACACTGGATCAATAAGAGATGATCCTTACTGGACCTTTTGGAAGAACAGTTTAGAACTGATAGAGCTATCCAGTTTAAACAAAGTTCGTTTAGTTTAGGTTTCCTCCTGTAGTAACACTGGATCAATAAGAGATGATCCTTACTGGACCTCTTGGAAGAACAGTTTAGAACTGATAGAGCTATCCAGTATAAACAAAGTTCGTTTAGTTTAGGTTTCCTTCATTACTGGACCTCTAGGAAGAACAGTTTAGAACTGATACAGCTATCCAGGATATATAAAGTTTGTGTAGTTTAGATTTCCTCCTGTAGTAAGACTGGATCGATAAGTAATGAAACCTGTACTGAAACTGTACGCAAAGTTGTTTGGCTATACACAGCCATCCAGAACGTTAACACGTTGGACGAATGCCCAAGCACGAAGCGGTGTGTAACTACAAACTATTCATCTTTTAGATTACACAACTCAAAATTGAAAACAATCCGTTTGCCAAAGGTTTTCGTGGGACGTGTAACTCTTTCAGTTCCACGACGTACGGAGCGACTAAACGCAAGTTGGAGGAAGACCCTGAAGAGACTGGGCCGGGTAGTAGATTATCACCTCACAACATGATGAAGTTGACCAATTGCAGCAGCCCGTCCTCTGTATGTGTGACGTCATCACCACGTCACGTGATTCATCATTACACCACAGGTATGTACGGGACAATGATGTTTTTCAGTCACAAGACAGCAGATGATGGCCAATGTCAGAAATGTTTAACGGAGCATGAAAACTAAACTGCATTTCTCAATTCTATTTATTTGCCACCAAATACAAGACACTACATACCGTAAACCTCCGACTATAAGCCCTGGGCTTATATACTTTCGTAAGCGATTTTTGATGGGCTTATACAAGAGGGGGGGGCGGCTTATATACGGGTGGGCTTATACATGGACGATCTTTTGTGTTAGTAATAAACAAGTCAGACATAAACAAGTCAGTCATAAACGTGTATAAAGCAGCGATTACTGGGCTTATATTAATTGGGGGACTTATATTCGGGGGGCTTACATTCGGGTGGGCTTATATTTGGGGGGGGGGGCTTATATTTGGAATGATGTGAGCGTTAGTACATGTGGTGGGCTTATACACGGGGTGGGGGCTTATAGTCGGAGGTTTACGGTATAATGGAAAGAGTCATTTTGTCACTCTGATAACTGCAGGTTGAACACCATCTGCTGCGCGATAGTGCTTTGTGAAATACATCCTCTAGCAGGAATCGAACCTGCAGCCCTGCCATTCCAGTGGGGCGTTACAGAGGCCAGTTGTCCAACTGTAACCACAAATTCGTGTGTATATACTAGGGTACTGCTATGTCTAGGTTATGGGTAAATATCAAGATATTGCTGGCATTTCACTCGATTGAATAATAGTTGAAGGGTAGTCTTGTAGATGGAAGTTATCGAGTGGAAATTTATATACATTTATAGTAGACCTAAAAATGCAACTATAGGTCCATGACAGGAATCGAACCTGTGATTCTTGTGCAGTGCTCTAACCAACTGAGCTACAGAGGCCAGTTGTCGAACTCTAACCACAAGTTCATGTATGTATACAAGGGTACTGCCATGTCTAGGTTATGGGTAAATATTTTGTTGGCATCTTATTCGATTCAATAATAGTTGAAGGATCTTGTAGATGGAAATTATAAAGTGGAAATTTTATATAGAGAATAATACATGGATGCGCGTAAATACCAGATTTATTTCGAGTGTTGAACATGAAGCACTATACTTTATATAATAAATACATTTATTAGACCTAGTAAATAATATACATTTATTAGACTTAGATCAAATAATTTTCCGTCTACAATACCCTTCAACTATTATTCAATCAAATGAGATGCCAACAAAATCTTAGTGAAACCCAGGGATGGATTTACTGGGGGGTGCGC